GATCCACCCGCAGTGCGAGTGGGAAGACGTCTTGGCTCTCAGTTTTTAAATTAAAATCCACGTGTTTTATTTTTTTGTGTAAATTCGCTTCGGGTGTATACAAGTTGTCGACGCAGCAACTTAAGTTATAATAATAACAATAAAAATATCAACACGCACACACACTCAAGACTCGAGTCCGAGGAGTCGCATCACTCGATTTGGATATTTGCCCGATTCCTTTCTCACACCGTTAGTTTGTCTAAGTTCACATTGACTGTGCGACTGTGTCAATGCTTCACTGCCATGTTGTCAATCCACTGCTGGATGAAGGCCTCCCCCATGCCGCGTGTGCCCGTTCGACCATACTTCACCACGCCGGTTCGTGCGGGTTGAGCGAAGTTTTGGGCGCCCGGGATAAGTTGCCACTCGCCCCCCTTGATGTGAGCCGTGGCTGAGTGTCGATCTAAGGCGGCCGGGTTCAGCACTCTGACGGTCGCGGCGCAGAGGCCACCACCCGATACCACCGATCACAGTCGCCGTCCCTTCCTTCCTTCTGCCAGATCCCTCCTCGCGGAGGTTGACGTCGAGGATGCGGATATGGGGGCCACCTCCGTTTTTGTGCGGTACCCTCCCCCCCCCGTCTGTACGCCGTGAGATAACCTCCACTCTGTGTGCGAACGATGTAATTATAAACAACGATTCACAGACCGTTGTCGATCTATTGCTGGATAAATTCGTGCCCGCGCGCTGTGGGATGATGGATGTTAAAGTCGGTTGACCGTACGGGGCAGTGCCGGACTGCACTGCGAACAGAACAGCGCAGTCGAGGTCCCGGGTCAGATTCTCGCCCGCTCACTAATGTGAGCGCAGTGCGCTAACCACTACGCCACCACTCCCCCCCCCCCCCCCCCCAGTCACACAGAGCGGTGGCGACATGTTAACTCCCTCGCCTGGTATGCAGGCGAGGGAGTTCGTGGGTTCAATCCCGACCCTGACGTCTGCTGCTGTATATTCGGAGTTTGCGTGTCTCTCTCTCTCTGTGGTCGTTTGGATTTTTCTCCGGGTCTTCCGCTTTTTTCCCCTCCACGTTTAGAATCAAAGTCACGCGTCTAGACGACTTGGCGGCTCCAATGTCCCACGCGATCAGCCGCTTGGTCGAGCTATCGGTTGTGATATTCAGGTCGCTTCTGAAAACGAATAAGAAACTAAAATAAACGATGTGACTCTCCCCGTGGTGTTTAGTTACCCGACACGACACGAGAGTGGCTGAGTTCGCGCGGCACCACGACACATCGAGGCCGCTCGCTCGATACGCGCCCTGCCCAGCACCCCCCCCCCCCCCGGGGGCGGCGAGAGGCAGCGAGCGTCCAGGACGTGGCCGCTTTACGACGACTTCGGCGTCATACTCTTTGGAAATGAAAATGAAATAGACATAAATGTAATGCACTCGAAAGTGTCGTTCGATATCGTATTTATATTCAAAGCTCTTTTTGAAAAAGGCTCCACAATAAAAAAAATACTTCCTGAGGCCTAGTAAAAGTTTAAAATATTTGTTTTGGAATGATAAACAATTGGGTGGGTTTTATTTTTCGATTTAAAGCTTTCGTGACTGCAGGGATTCATCTTCTTGTTTCTTTCGGTAAAGTCACGTAGAAGGGAAGTAATAAAATAATAAAAATAAAACATAATAAAACAATTCTCACGACGTTTCGGCTACAACGCAAGCAGCCGTCTTCAGGTGAAGAATGAGACACTACCAAACTAGGAGCTTATATATAAGCTGCATTGGGGGTTGAAGAGCGCCTTAACAAAAAGAATGTGCATGTGAAGAGGGATTTAGCATATTCATGGAAAATGCGTAGGCGTTGGGCGGGGGGGTGTCAAAGTCATATTATGCCCATGCATTATGCAGGATCAGCAGCAACCAAGGGGGGTGCAGGGATTAGCAGTAACAAAGGAAAGGAATGTTAATGATATGTAGCTGCAGTTACTCAACAACCACGTAGAAAACTAAAGTATAAACTACATAAAAAACTAAAGTATAAACTGCATCGCACCATCAGTATACTTACTATACTCTATAATAAGCTGAGTTACTAACAGCAAGTAATACATTACAATTTTACCTCGTAAAAATTCTATAATATGCTTCCATCTAAACCTTATTCTCTTACATCACACGAGCATATACCGTACTATATACTGCCATAGATAAACCCAACATTAAATTATATACTGTATTGCTGTAAACCAACCTATATCTTATACATTTAATATCACACAATTGGGTGGGGTCACGAATTATTCAATTTCTGGGGGACAGGGACCAACCCGATCACACCGTAGTGATGACGCTTCCAGCCCCGATGCTCTCCGTGCCAAGTTAAGAATGTCCCGTGTCCCTTCCCCAGGGACCTCATCGTGACGGCACGGCACGCACCCCTCCACCGCGGCCGCGTGGATTTGACGGTCAATCCCGCGGCAACGGAATTACACACACGCGGGGTGCACATTAAACAGCTGGGAAGAGCATCGCCGGATGTGAGCCGATGCTTGCGGCGCGTGCACGTCCCGAGTTGTTGTTGTTCACCACGCCCGGCTCACCGCCTCGTCTCGCCGTGGTCTCATCGTGTGCCCGCATGGGTTGCGTAATTACCCCCCCCCCCCCCCCCCACGATACCAATGACGGGCCGTAGGGGCAAGTGCTGTTAGCGAGTAGCAGCGCCTATGGAGGTCGGCACGGCACACGAGGGGGTGGGTGGCCAGCACCACGCCCGGCCGCCTTTGTCTCCCGATGTTTACGCACCGCACCAGGTACTCGTTTGAGGCTGAGTCAACCTAGGGGAGGCCCAGGACCGGTTCAGATAATCGTCACCGGTGGTGTTGGCCGTGAGCGGGAATCGAACCCGGGTGGCCGGGTTCGTAGCGCAGTGTAGCGCTAACCACTACACCCACCGCTCCCCGTCACCTCCAAGGGCACACACTCACAGCTGAAGTAATCAAGGTTGTACGTGTATGTATGTGGACATGTATAATAATAGCAAATGTTTTGCCTGTAAGCCTCTAAGCAAACATTCAACAGCTACACATGCGTATAATTGTGAGGTACATTTACCAGTAAGATGATTTGTTGAAAGTTTGTGAACGAGTGACCCTATCATTGTTTGACTATATTTAATGCAGGTTTCGTTTCAGACCCACGTGCTGATGACGTGGCATCCATCGGGAGACTTGTGATGAGAATTATAAATATTATTATATTGAGAGCCTATATGTTAATCTCTCCTCTTATCCAATACTTTTGACCCCATGTGTATACGTACACACACATTCACGCGCACACGCGGAGACACAAAATACAAAGGTCCCCCGTATAGCCTTAACAGACTGTAGGGGCAAGTGCTGTCAGTGAGCACCTATGAAGGCCGGAACGGTACACGAGGGGTTGGGTGGCCAGCACCACGCCCGACCGCCTTTGTCTCCTCAGTGGCGATGTTTACACACCGCACCAGGTGCTCATTTGAGGCTGAATCGACCTAGGGGAGGCCCAGGACCGGTTCAGATAATCGTCACCGGTGTTGGCCATGAGCGGGAATCGAACCCGGGTCGCCGGGAACATAGCGCAGCGTAGCGCGCCAACCACTACACTACCGCTCCCCCCACACACACAATACCACACACACACAATAATACACACCTATACACACACACACAACACGAATATATACATACACACAACATGCAGAAATACACATGCACAAAGACAAAGATCCCAGTGTAGCCTTCATAGAAGGATGGGGCAAGTGCTTTTAGCGAGGAGGGTGCACGAGGCGGTGCTCTGGCCAGCACCACATTTATGGCCGAGTCTACCTAGGCGAGACCCAGGAACCGGTTATGATATCACTCGCCACTGATGTTAGCCGTGTCCATGGTCCAGAGTAAACACAACAGGTAACACCGTAACAAACATTATATTTTTTGTCCCTGGGTAGTAAGTGTTATTTCCTAGTTGCTTATGCCTCAAAAGTACAGAAAATGGCTATTATTACCCACAAACTTTGCTTTTGTGACCAGGACAGTGATATTTTGAATTTTCCATATTTTCAATGAGAAAACGTGGTGTGCATTTGTCTCATTCCTTCACATAAAGTCCTGGTCACAAAAGAAAAGTTTGTGTGGAATAATAGCCACTTTCTATACTTATTAGGCATAAGCAATAAAAAAATGACAGTACCCAGAAACAAAAATTGTGTTACATAGTGTAATTCATCTATGAAAGCTCAGCATTCATAGATTATCCTGTGTGAAACACAGGTGTGCACTGTGCGTGTACACGTGTACACATGTACACGTGTACACTCACTCGAGCGTGACGCGGACATTAGCTTCCGTGTACAATCTGAAGTGGTGGAAATTCCACATTTCTGCGGCGAAGGAAAAAGACTGCCTTTTGGGACAAGCGCTGTTGACGTCCTACAAAGTGCTACGGTACTCGTTTTATCGACCTCGGATGAATCATCGGGGTCAGTCGACTACGGCACCGCGAGTTGAACTCCTCTGTCGGGTTTATCGACAGGTACACCTCGCTCGCTTGCGCGTGGACGCGTTCTCGTGGCGTGCACGTGTCCACGTGAACCACAGCGTGAGAGCACGCCCGCGTGTACATGCGCATGCTTGTGTATGGAACGGTTGTGCAACATGCGCGTGCTTCCGTCTCACGCTCGACACGGCCGCTCTGCGAGACTCGACCCCGGAGAGACGGAACGGGGAGAGGTGGAGTGAAGGGAGTGAAGGGAGAGGCGAGAAGATGATGAGGTGGATGATGAGGAGGATGATGATGAGGATGATGAGGATGAGTGTGGAGGTTTGAGAGAGGGAGGAGAGGCGCGGGAGCGCGTGGAGCCAGGCCCTGCCGACCCCGGGCCGAGTGGGCCCCGCCCGACACGGGGTGGACTCACTCGGGGTGGACCCACTCGGGGTGGACTCACTCGGGGTGGACCCACTCGGGGTGGACTCACCCGCAGGGGGGAAGCGCTGCCGGGTGGACCCAGTGCCAGCGCGGCGCCGAGAAGCTGCTGCTGCTGCTGATGTTTAAACTGCTGATGATGATGTTTAAACGGCTGCTGCTGCTGGTGCTGCTGCTGCAGGTGCTGCTGCTGCTGGTCTTGGTGCTGCTGCTGGTGCTGCTGCTGGTGCTGCTGCTGCTGCAGCTGGTGTTGGTGCTGCTGCTGCAGCTGGTGTTGGTGCTGCTGCTGCAGCTGGTGTTGGTGCTGCTGCTGGTGCTGCTGCTGCAGCTGGTGTTGGTGCTGCTGCTGCAGCTGGTGTTGCTACTGCTGCTGCTGGTGGTGTTGGTGCTGCTGCAGCTGGTGTTGGTGCTGCTGCTGGTGCTGCTGCTGCAGCTGGTGTTGCTACTACTGCTGCTGGTGGTGTTGGTGCTGCTGCTGCAGCTGGTGTTGGTGCTGCTGCTGGTGCTGCTGCTGCAGCTGGTGTTGCTACTGCTGCTGCAGGTGGTGTTGGTGCTGCTGCTGCAGCAGGTGTTGGTGCTACTGCTACTGCTGCTGCAGGTGGTGTTGGTGCTGCTGCTGCAGCAGGTGTTGGTGCTACTGCTGCTGCTGGTTGCTACTGCGAGTGGAGGTCCCCGCGCTGTTCGCTCTTCGCGCCGATCACCATCGCGGATTGCGCTTCACTCCCGCGGAGCGGCGGCGCGAGGGAGATTCATGGCACCACTCCTCGTCTCTCTCCCCGTCTCTCCTGCGCTCTCCTCCCCGTCGGCTCTCTCTCTCTCTGTCTCTCTGTCTGTCTCTCTCTCTCTGTCTGTCTCTCTCTGTCTCTTCCACTGTCCCCCTCGACCGCCTCCTTCACTCTGCGCGCGTCTCTGCCGCCTTCTCGGCGCGCCGTCCGCGTGTCCGGCCACGCGGAGTCGCGCGGATTCCCAGAGCCGAGCGCGGCACGGAGACGGAGCGAGCCCCCCCCCCCCCCCCCCCCCCGTCCGCACAGCAGCAGCTCGTGGCTCCTTCTCGTTTAACCCCGAGACTGGGAGGAGGCGAGTGGGGGGGGGAGCGAGACGCGCGCCACAGGAACGGGGAGTGAACCCTCACGGCCAGGGTCGCCCCGAGTCGCCGGCGGAGAGGAAGAGACGCGTCTCGCACTCTCTGCCTCGCTCTCTCTGCCTTCTCTCTCTCTGCCTGCCGCCGTCTCTCGCTCCCTCTCTCTCTGTCTCTCTCGTGTCGGAGGGAGATTCACTCCCCGCTCCCCCGGACCCCCCCCCCCCCTCCTCTCCCTCCCCCAGGGGGGGGAGAGAGGAGGGGGGGGGCGGTGACGCGGTGCGCCCGAACGCCTCCAAGCCACGAAGACTCCGGGACCCGGAGCGGCGCTGCGTTCGTGCGCCTTCTAGCACGGCCACCACCACAACAGCAGCTGTAGCCACCACCACAACAACAACAACAACAGTAGCTGTAGCCACCACCACAGCAGCTGTAGCCACCACCACAGTATCTGTAGCCACCACCACCACAGTAGCTGTAGCCACCACCACCACAACAGCTGTAGCCACCACCACCACAACAGCTGTAGCCACCACCACCACAACAGCTGTAGCCACCACCACAACAACAACAGTAGCTGTAGCCACCACCACCACAACAGCTGTAGCCACCACCACAACAGCTGTAGCCACCACCACCACAACAGCTGTAGCCACCACCACAACAACAACAACAGTAGCTGTAGCCACCACCACCACAACAGCTGTAGCCACCACCACAACAGCTGTAGCCACCACCACCACAACAACAGCTGTAGCCACCACCACCACAACAGCTGTAGCCACCACCAACACAACAGCAGCTGTAGCCACCACCACAACAACAGCTATAGTCACCACCACCACAACCGCTGTAGCCACCACCACCACAACAGCAGCTGTAGTCACCACCATCACAACAACAGCTGTAGCCACCACCACAACAACCGCTGTAGCCACCACCACCACAACAGCAGCTGTAGTCACCACCATCACAACAACAGCTGTAGCCACCACTAACACACCTATAGCCACCACTACACTCCTATAGCCACCACTAACACTCACCTATAGCCACCACTACACTCCTATAGCCACCACTACACTCCTATAGCCACCACTAACACTCACCTATAGCCACCACTACACTCCTATAGCCACCACTAACACTCACCTATAGCCACCACTAACACTCACCTATAGCCACCACTAACACTCACCTATAGCCACCACTAACACTCCTATAGCCACCACTAACACTCACCTATAGCCACCACTAACACTCACCTATAGCCACCACTACACTCCTATAGCCACCACTAACACTCCTATAGCCACCACTAACACTCACCTATAGCCACCACTACACTCCTATAGCCACCACTAACACTCCTATAGCCACCACTAACACTCACCTATAGCCACCACTAACACTCACCTATAGCCACCACTACACTCCTATAGCCACCACTAACACTCCTATAGCCACCACTAACACTCCTATAGCCACCACTAACACCCACCTATAGCCACCACTAACACTCACCTATAGCCACCACTACACTCCTATAGCCACCACTAACACTCTTATAGCCACCACTAACACTCACCTATAGCCACCACTAACACTCACCTATAGCCACCACTACACTCCTATAGCCACCACTAACACTCCTATAGCCACCACTAACACTCACCTATAGCCACCACTAACACTCACCTATAGCCACCACTACACTCCTATAGCCACCACTAACACTCACCTATAGCCACCACTACACTCCTATAGCCACCACTACACTCCTATAGCCACCACTAACACTCACCTATAGCCACCACTACACTCCTATAGCCACCACTAACACTCCTATAGCCACCACTAACACTCACCTATAGCCACCACTAACACTCACCTATAGCCACCACTACACTCCTATAGCCACCACTAACACTCCTATAGCCACCACTAACACTCACCTATAGCCACCACTAACACTCACCTATAGCCACCACTACACTCCTATAGCCACCACTAACACTCCTATAGCCACCACTAACACTCACCTATAGCCACCACTACACTCCTATAGCCACCACTAACACTCCTATAGCCACCACTAACACTCACCTATAGCCACCACTACACTCCTATAGCCACCACTAACACTCCTATAGCCACCACTAACACTCACCTATAGCCACCACTACACTCCTATAGCCACCACTAACACTCCTATAGCCACCACTAACACATCGTAATGTTCATCATTACCATCATCCAATAACATATACCACCACCACCACCCACCGCTCTACCTCCCAGCACGAGGACCTTCTCGTGACGGACACTCTCCTCGTCCTCGCACCAAACCCACCTCCACCTCCACCACGCGTCTCACGCCGCCTGCCCCCGTCGCCCTCTCGCCGCTGTTGCCGAGGCTCGGCGCTGCCCGGGCGCCACTGGGGTCGAGACCTCGTGGGCCCGTCCGGTGGCCTGCGGTCCCCCCTCCTCCTCCCCTCCCCAGCCGCGGGGGGGGGGGGCTGCTCGAGTTGGGGGGCCTTCGCCCTGGCACCGCGGGTCCCGGGTTCGATTCCCCCGCACACGGCCAACAGCGTGCGGGCACGATGACCTGACCCCGTCCGGCGCCTCACTCGGCCTCGTGGACACGGCCAAGCAGGGAGACAAAGGCGGTCGGGCGTGCGTGGTGCTGGCCACCCCTCCCCCCTCGTGTGCCGTGCCGGCCTACGTAGCTGCTACACGCTGACAGACCTTGCCCCGACAGTCTGTCAAGGCTATACGGGCGACCTTTGCCTTTGAGCTGGAGTCGTGCGCTGTGTCGGTTCGTGGCCGGCGGGAGCTCCGGGAGACGCGAGCTGTAGGGCACGAGTGGCTGGAGGTGCGCTGACCACTCCAGAGTAGCTAACTCGGGCGAAAGGTGCAGATCTTCCCCTATCTTCTTTAGTCTCATATTCTTGGTTCTTTCGGTAAAGTCACGTAGAAGGGAAACAATAAAATAATAAAATAAAATAATAATAATAATATTATCACGACGTGTCGACTGCAACACAAGCAATCGTCATCAGGTGTGAAAAAAACACAGCAAGAAAATGTTAATCAAAATTCTTTTGTCTCATTAATAAAGTCATATATCTATATACCACGTTCACAAATAATATAATTTGCTCCACTGCGGCTCACATGAAGAAAGCTGCAACCTCCAATATAATCATGCAGTTATATATATTGTTATTAAATCGTCACTTCTGCCACGTCCGGGGAATAAAACAGCCACATCGCCGGGTCCCGAGCACCTCCTCCGGCTCCTCGCATCTCGCCGTCGTCCCACCTCGCGCACGAAATGTCCCCAAGCCCCCAGCAGCGAAGCCGCCTCTCTCGCTCTCGCTGGCGCCACGAAGAAGTATGCGCGGTCACCAGAGTTTACATTTCGCGACGGTGGCTACGAGATGTTAACTACCTCGCCTGGTATACAGGAGGTCGTGGGTTCGATCCCAACCCTGACGCCTGCAGTCACGAAAGTTCTAAAATTAAGATTGTGTGTTTGGAGTTTGCCTGTCTCTCACTCTCCGTGGTCGCGTGGATTTTTCTCCGGATCCTGCGGGTTTTCCCTCCACATAAGGAATCAACATCACCACGCGTTTAGAGTATTTGGCTGCTTTAAAGCTTTCGCGACTGCAGGGATTCATATTCTTGGTTCTTTCGGTAAAGTCAATTAGAAGGGAAATAATAAAATAATAAAAAGAACATATAATAACGTCGTGAGAAATGTTCGTACGTTTTATTTTCATTATTTTATTATTCCCTTCTAAGTGACTTTACCGAAAGAACCAAGAATATTTGGCTGCTCTGAAATTCCGCACGACGATGAGCCGCTTCGTTGAGCTATCACTTGTAATAGCCGGGCCGCGACTGAAAAGGAGCTACGAAATAGCTCAGTGGGCCTTACCTGCTAAAATAAATAAAATCGTTTTAGTCATACCACGCTCATTGCTCGGATTCGCTGGGAGCTTGCAATGTGTCGCTGCTACATCCGCGCTACTCTCGAGATAGATACTGCGCGTGTCCTGGCTGGCCGCTGGCTGGGCTCCTTTCCACCCCAGCAGAGACTCTGTTGGTAGTGGCTGCTGCGGGCAGTTGCAACAGAAAATAGCGGGGTAACCGGCTAAATGGGTCTTTCCGTGTAACACGCCAAGGCTGATATGAATTGAAACGGCAGGAGAAGGCGTTCGAAAGACATTTGATAATAATAGAAAGATGGCCACACTGAAGAGGTGTGAGTAATGAGTGCACAAGACTGACACGATTCATTTGAAATTGATACTCTTGAATTTGTGTTCGTATTAATGTAATTATTTGGCCAGAATGTTATTGAAATCCTAGATAATATTAAAAAAAACATTCACAATACATTATCTTGGCATGTTATAATTACAAGTGCTCCGAGTACAGGGGCATTGTGACGAGATGTTTCGTGCGGTTATTAGTGACGGGGTGGTTCAGATGCTGTAGCTTGAGAGCTCGGTTCAATCACGGGTTCCTGAACCCCGGATCGAACCCAGGCTCCCAGCGGGGATGGCTCAGTGCCCTGACTCCCCAAGCCACCCGGCCTCCTCCTCCTAAAGGATGTTTTTTTTCTTTATAAACGAATTTCAAACTCGGACAGCCATGGACACACAGACCAAGGCACGCATCTACACCACGAGGAACAACTCATTTAAGGCTGAGTTGGCCTAGGGGAGGTAGAAACTCCACTTGCCACTGATGTTAGCCGTGGCCTGGAATCGTACCGAGTTGCGACGGTCTCTTAAGAGCTATACCAGTGTAAAGACAAAGATCCCCCGTGTAGCCTTAACAGACTGTTGGGGGAAGTGCTGTTAACGAGCGGCTTCGAAGGCCTGGACAGAGAACGAGGGACGTGTTGTGGCCAGAACCACGCCCGA